TCTCCTTATTCTCCTGGGTCCTTTGCCTTCTATATTTCTTCCATTCCCTAGCACACTTGGTTTTTGCTTCCCTGCACCTTTGGGTAAACCATGGGCTCATCCTGGCTTTTTCATTATTCCTGTTACCCTTGGGTACAAACCTCTCCTCAGCCTCCTTGCATTTTGTTGCTACATATTCCATCATCTCATTAACTGGCTTCCCTGCCAGTTCTCTGTCCCACTGAACCCCGTTCAGGAAGTTCCTCATTCCTGTATCCCCCTTTCTTGTAGTTTGGCTTCATTCGTCCTGGCCTTCCTGCTTCTCCCTCCACTTGTAGCTCTACTCTGTATTCGAAGCTTAAAACCACATGGTCACTGGCCCCAAGGGGTCTTTCATATGTGATGTCCTCGATATCTGCACTACTCAAGGTGAATACTAAGTCCAGCCTTGCTGGTTCATCCTCTCCTCTCTCTCTTGTAGTGTCCCTTACGTGTTGGTACATGAAGTTTTCCAGTACAACCTCCATCATCTTAGCCCTCCATGTATCTTGGCCCCCATGCGGGTCCAAGTTCTCCCAATCGATCTCCTTGTGGTTAAAGTCACCCATGATCAGGAGTTTTGCCCTGCATGCATGAGCTCTTCTGGCCACTGTAGCCAGTGTGTCAACCATCGCTCTATTGCTCTCGTCGTACTCTTGCCTTGGCCTCCTGCTGTTCTGTGTGTGTGTGTGTGTGTACTCACCTAATTGTACTCACCTAATTGTGGTTGCAGGGGTCGAGACTCAGCTCCTGGCCCCGCCTCTTCACTGATCGCTACTGGGTCCTCTCTCTCTCTGCTTCCTGAGCTTTGTCATACCTCTTCTTAAAACTATGTATGGTTCCTGCCTCCACTACTTCACTTGCTAGGCTATTCCACTTGCTGACGACTCTATGACTGAAGAAATACTTCCTAACGTCCCTGTGACTCGTCTGAGTCTTCAGCTTACAGTTGTGACCCCTTGTCCCCGTGTCCCTCTCTGGAACATCCTATCTCTGTCCACCTTGTCTATTCCCCGCAGTATCTTGTATGTCGTTATCATGTCTCCCCTGACCCTTCTGTCCTCCAGTGTCGTCAGTCCGATTTCCCTTAACCTTTCCTTGTACGACATTCCTTTGAGCTCTGGGACTAGCCTTGTTGCAAACCTTTGTACTTTCTCTAACTTCTTGACGTGCTTGACCAGGTGTGGGTTCCAGACTGGTGCTGCATACTCCAGTATGGGCCTAACATACACAGTGTACAATGTCTTGAACGATTCCTTATTAAGGTATCGGAACGCTATTCTCAGGTTTGCCAGGCGCCCGTATGCTGCAGCGGTTATTTGGTTGATGTGTGCCTCCGGTGATGTGCTCGGTGTTATGGTCACCCCAAGATCTTTCTCCCTGAGTGAGGTCTGTAGTCTTTGTCCACCTAGCCTATACTCTGTCTGCGGTCTTCTTTGCCCTCCCCAATCTTCATGACTTTGCATTTGGCTGGATTGAATTCGAGAAGCCAGTTACTGGACCACATGTCCAGCCTGTCCAGGTCTCTTTGCAGTCCTGCCTCATCCTCGCCGATTTAATTCTTCTCATCAACTTCACGTCATCTGCGAACAGGGACACTTCAGTCTATTCCTTCCATCATGTCGTTCACATATATCAAAAATAGTACTGGTCCTAGAACTGACCCCTGTGGGACCCCGCTCGTAACAGGCGCCCACTGTGATACCTCTTCACGTACCATGACTCATTGCTGCCTCCCTGTCAGGTATTCCCTTATCCATTGCAGTGCCCTCCCTTTTACATGCGCCTGATCCTCCAGCTTCTGCACTAATCTCTTGTGGGGAACTGTGTCAAAGGCCTTCCTGCAGTCTAGGAAAACGCAATTCTACCCACCCCTCTCTCTCGTGTCTTACTTCTGTTACCTTGTCATAAAACTCCAGGAGGTTTGTGATACAAGATTTGCCTTCCATGAACCCATGCTGGTTTTCATTTATAATCTTGTTCCTTTCCAGGTGTTCGACCACTCTCCTCCTGATAATCTTCTCCATGACTTTGCACACAATACATGTCAGAGACACAGGTCTGTAGTTTAGTGCCTCGTTTCTGTTTCCTTTCTTAAATATGGGGACTACATTAGCTGTCTTCCATTTCTCAGGTAGTTGCCCAGTTTCAAGGGATGTGTTGAAGATTGTGGTTAGAGGCACGCACAGCATCTCTGCTCCTTCTCTAAGGACCCATAGGGAGATGTTGTCCGGTCCCATCGCCTTTGAGGTGTCAAGGTCACTTAAGAGCTTCTTCACCTCCTCCTCAGTTGTTTGTATGTCATCCAACACTTGTTGGTATATTCCCTCTTGATGTTCCCTTCTGTGCTGTCTTCCCACAGCCCTTCCTGTCTCTACTGTAAAAACTTCCTTAAATCTCCTGTTCAGCTCCTCACATACCTCCTGATCATTTCTTGTGAGTTCTCCACCTTCTGTCCTTAATCTGATCACCTGGTCTTTGACTGTTGTCTTCCTCCTGTGTGTTGTGTGTGTGTGTGTGTGTGTGTGTGTGTGTGTGTGTGTGTGTGTGTGTGTGTGTGTACTCACTCACCTAGTTGCGGGGGTCGAGTCCGAGCTCCTGGCCCCGCCTCTTCACTGATCGCTACTAGGTCACTCTCCCTGAGCCGTGAGCTTTATCATACCTCTGCTTAAAGCTATGTATGGATCCTGCCTCCACTACATTGCTTCCCAAACTATTCCACTTACTGACTACTCTGTGGCTGAAGAAATACTTCCTAACATCCCTGTGATTCATCTGTGTCTTCAGCTTCCCAACTGTGCCCCTGTTACGTGTCCAATCTCGGGAAACCCTGTCTTTGTCCCCTTGTCAATTCCCTCAGAAATTTTGTATGTCGTTTCATGCCCCCCCCCTTCTCTCCTGTCCCCATGTCGTCGGGTTATTTCCCTAACCCTCCTCGTAGGGCATACCTCTTTGCTCTGTGACTAGTTTGTTGCAAACCTTTACCTTTCTGTGTGTGGGTGTGGTGTGTGTGTGTGTGTTTTGTGGTTGTGTGGTGTTGTGTGTGTGTTGTGTGTTGTGTTGTGTGTGTGTGTGGTGGGGGTATGGTGTACAGGGACACGGCAGCTGAGGGACTGTCTAATAGACACAGCTAGTGACCGCCTATAACCAGACTACTGAGGATTGTCTAATAACACAGGCTGATGACCGGATAACACAGACTGCTGAGGACTGTCAATAGACACAGGCGGTGACCGCCTGAAGACAAAAGACACTTTATGACGTTTTAAAAACACAGGCTGAGTGACCGCCGAAGACAACTAGCGGTACTGCTAATAACGCGGGTGAGTGACCGCCATAGACAACTACTGAGTGACGCTAATAGACACAGGCTGAGTTCCGCCTGATAGACAGACTAGCTGAGTGACTGTCTAATAGACACAGGCTGAGTGACCGCCTGATAGACAAATTGGAGACGAACAAAAAATCGTGCGTCACCTGTATTCAATTATTTCTTGATAATTTGTTGCCAGGAAAACATGGTTGATTTCCATTAAGCGCAGAGAAAACGAATTGAAATGTTCCTCAGTGGCGGAGGCTTCAGCAGTTGGCTATAAGGCTTCCCCGCCACTTCTGAAGGCTTCCCGCCCTCACCATCAAGATTTTACAAACCCTTTTGAGGTTTCCACAAGCTCTTTTGGGCTTTTAAAAGCTTGTGGTGGGTTTCACGCCCCCCTTTCGAGGTTTCCTCACACCATCCTCGCCATTCTGAGAGGTTTATGTTATCTTAGAGGTTTGAGCAACCTCGTTTGTCAGTGTTCATACAACTATTGCTTTATGACACTGTCAATAGCAATCTACAAGTATGTTGAGACAATGTTTATTTTCAATACCGTCCTACAAGGGTAATGAGAATAATCACCCTCATTAGTATGTACAAGGGTAGAGATCAGAGGGCACCCTTGTTAGCATTGTTCAAGACACTGCTAATACCACACAAATTTAAGCCATTAAAAGCATTTTTAGAATGTAATTTATTCTTCCAAATATTTTTAAGAGCCTAAAAAGGTGGGTCAATATTTTATACATTCAATAATTGATTATTTAATATTATTGCTAACCCATCCTTTAACTCTAATTTTCTGATACACCTGATTTAACACCATTTCCTTCTCAACTCTCTCTTACCGATGTTTTGTTTAGATTATAATCAAGAACCCACTAGGGTTATACAGCATGGTTTCCTTAGAGCTAGACTATTATAATAAAAACTAAGCACTAAACCCACAAGGGTCATGCTAGCTTAGAGCTAGAATATCCACCTTATCATTCCTAACAATATATTCTACGTTCTCACCTGCACTACATCCACACAAGTCTACACAATCCACCTTCATAAATTACCTTTTTAGGTTATATTTTTATTTTTATTATTTTATTCTGAGAGGCCAATAAATCCATATTATTATAATAAAAAAGAAGCGCTAAACCTACAAGGGTCATACAGCGCCAATAAATCCATAATATTTAGCGCTTGATGAATGGGAACAGTGAGGTAATCCAAGGAAGGGTATTATTATTATTATAATTAAAACCGAGCGCCCAGGGAAGGGGCAGCTCCATTCTCTGGAGTCTCTCTCACCGAGATTAAGGATTATTATGGTGGAACTCTAAACCCATAGGGATTATACAACGCCTGTGGGGGAGAGGATAGAAGGCATTCAGGCTCAATTCAGGGAACTGAAGCACAAATCCAATTCCCTAGATCAAGATTATTATAATCAAAAGAAGCGTAAACTGGAAGGGTTCCCTAGATCAAGAGCCCCTCACCAGCGCCTAGGAACCTCCCTTGAGGGGCCAAGATTAAGGAACATTCCTATAGAGGGTTTAATGTTATTTAGAATACACCTTAACTTATGTTGGTAACCTTAACACTATGTTAGTCTAAAAGTCACTTCAAAGCATCAGAAGCCACTAAGAGCTTCATGTAATGTGTGTTTCAGAAGAGCTGGAGATGGCATGGCAGTAGCAGCTGGGTACACAGGAGAGGTGATGTATCTGCTGCCTTATACTATACTGGGACGCACTGAACTAGAGCCCAGAGCCACAGAAATACTGGTCCAGGTGAGTAGGCAGGATGGAGTGATAAGCATGGAGTGAGCGAGGAGGGAGATCATGGGGAAAGGAAGGGGAGAGGGAGGAAAGATTATAATTATTATAATTAAGAGGGAGAAAAAGTGAGTTCTAGTTAATTATTTTCTGGGGAAGTGTCAAGCCCACAGCATTTGTGGAATGGGAAAAATTAGATTTGATCCAAGGAGAGGGAGAGGAGCTTCAGCTCCTTCCATCAAGAGTTCATCACTGGGATCACATTATTATTATTATTATTATAAAAAAAGAAGTGCTAAGCCACAGGGGCTATATAGCGCTGCAGGGTAAGGAAGGAAGCGAGGGTATTGGGCGGTAGAAGGGGGGAGGGATGATCAGTAGGTTACAGAAAACAGCGGGGCAGGGGATAGTACCGGGGTAGAGGGCAGCAAGAGATTGAGGTAGAAAGGGCTGAAGGTATCAGAGTTTGTGAAGTCAGTTGTTGTCAAAAAGTCAATGAAAGAGTCTGGATGAAAGGTGGGTCCATCAACGAGAAGGGAAGGTAAAGAGAGAGCAGCGGAGCGAAGACGACGTTGGAGGTATATTCTGCGTGCTCGTTGATAAAGTGGGCAGTCTAATAAATGTGGCTAACTTAAAATGGAACCTGACAATTCTCACAGAGAGGAGCAGGGCACCTCTCCATGAGATAACCATGAGTAAGACGAGTATGGCCAATGCGAAGACGGGAGAGAGTAGTCTCCCAACCTCGAAACTGGTGACAAGACGACGGCCAGTAACCTATACTCGGTTTAATAGATTGAAGTTTATTACTGAGCAGAGTAGACCAACGTTGTTGCCAATGGGTGTGAAGGTGGGTAGCTATTGCAGCAAAATAGTCCGTGAATGGAACACCTCTATATGAAACTGGCAGGTCATGTACTGCTGACCGCGCAGCAGTGTCTGCCTGTTCATTGCCCTGTACGTCAACATGACCAGGGACCCAACATAAAACAATATCTTTATGCTTGGTAAAGATGCGGCATAGCCAAAGTTGGATACGGAGGACTAAGGGGTGAGGTGTATCAAATTTCTGTATAGCCTGTAAAGCACTAAGGGAGTCTGAGACAACCACAAATGATGACACAGGCATAGATGCAATACAGATAAGAGCTGCAAGAATGGCATACAATTCAGCAGTAAAGATACTAGCCGAAGATAGTAAATGCCCTCGTACGACGCTGTCTGGAGACTTAGAGCCATCTGTGTACACTGCAATGGCATGAGAATGAGAGTTAAAGTGGTCAAGAAAAAGAGAGCGGGAAGCTACCGTAGACAGTTGGGTTTTCAAGCAAGGGAGAGAGAAAGAACAGACTCGAACAGCTGGAACTTCCAGGGGGGCAGGGAAAAGTGAGATGCTATATGAACATAGAAAGGTGGTAATTGAAGAGAAGACAAGAGCGAATGTAGGCGAAGGGAGAAGGGACGGAGCAAACAGGGGCGGCGAACAAATAAAGAATGTCCACTAATATCGGTGACCATTCTATAAATGGAAGGATTGCGGAGATCATGAGAGCGTACATAGTAGCGAAGGCAATGGGCATCACGGCGATCGGATAAGGATGGAACGTTCGCTTCTGCATAGAGGCTCTCAACAGGGGAAGAGTGAAAAGCACCAAGGCAGAAATATAATCCTTGGTGATGAATGGGGTTAAGGCTAGAGAGAGTAGCAGGAGAGGCAGCTGAATAGATCTGGTCACCATAATCAAGTTTCGATAAAATGAGGGCGGAATGTAGGCGAAGGAGAGTTCGACGATCAGCTCCCCATGAAAGATGAGAAAGGGGTTTTTTAAAAGGTTCAGCCAGCTGTGACAAGTTGCCTTCAGAGAGGTAATGTGAGGTTTCCAGGATAACCTACGGTCAAAGAGGAGGCCTAGAAACCTGACTGTATCATGTTCAGGGATATGGGAGTCATAGAGGTACAAAGGATGATCGGAGATGACAGAGTCTAGTGAAAGTAATTTGGCGAGTTTTGGTACTGGAAAATTTAAACCCATGTGTGGCGGCCCAATTGGAAACACGGTCGACTGCATACTGGAGAGAAACTGTAATGAGGTGACAGTCAGCGCCTGCACATGCAATAGTGAAGTCATCAACACAGAGTGATGACCAAATATTTGATGGAAGACTAGAGGCCAAATCATTAATAGCAAGGAGAAAAAGTGTTGTGCTCAAAACACATCCCTGGGGGACACCTTCAGCTTGGATAAAGTCCGGAGAGAGCACATTATTAACCCAAACACGGAAATGCCTGTCAGTTAAAAAGTTTTTAAAGGGAAAGGGATGGTAGATTGCCTCGAAGGCCTAAGGAGTGGCTTGGGCTAAAATATATACCCCCATTTTGTGTCATATGCCTTCTCAAGGTCAAAAAATGGCAAAAAACTGAGCAGTTATTCGCAAAGGCATTACGAACATACGTATCCAAGCGTAGTAAGGGGTCTATGGTAGAACGTCCCTTACAAAAGCCGTATTTACGAGTGGAGAGACTGTTGTGTTCTCTAAAATACCACACTAAATGTCTATTTTCTAGGCATTCCATCACTTTGCAAACTGCACTGGTAAGAGCAATGGGACGATAGTGGGAGGCTTCATGTCCCGTAGTGCCTGGTTTGTGGAAAGGGAAACAATGGCGGATTTCCACGCTGTGGAAAAAACTCCTTGTGACCAAATAAGATTGTAAAGGCATAATAGGACTGCAAGGGTTGACTGATGTAAATGTTGTAGCATACGAATATGAATGTCGTCGGGCCAGCTGCGATGATCGGCAAGCTGAGAGTGTTGCCTCCAGTTCTTGAAGTGTAAAAGGCACATTATACTGTTCTTCTCTGAGAGAAGAAAGTCCAAGGGTGCTAACTCTCTGGCAGACTTTGAGGAAAGAAATGAGGGGCATAGATGAGTCCCTGAGAAATAGGACCAGATGATTGCCAATTTCATTGGCAAAAATCTAGTGGGTTTGCTATACAACACCGGCAACCCGCAGAACAGAGCCGGGTCAGGAGAATATTTACCACTCAGTTTTTCGTACTTTTTCCAGACTGCACTCATAGAGGAAGCAGAGGTGATGGTGGAGAACTAATCTCGTCAGCAAGTGCGTTTAGCGTCACGGATGACACGGCGAGCGATCGCACGCTTCTGCTTAAAATCAAGAAGTCTCTCTGTGGTTCTATTGTACTGGTACCTGCCCCATGCAGTGCGTTTCAAACGTACTGCACGAGCACAAGCAGGAGACCACCAAGGCACGCATCTCGAGAATGCCTGTCCGAAGTTTTGGGGTATACCCAAATTAGAAGCTGCGGTTAAAACGGAGGACGAGAAGAGGTGTAAAAGTTCATTGATGGAGGACGAAGAAGGAACCTCTCTAAAAACAGTTAGTTGTGAGTAAAGGTTCCAATTTGCCTGATCAAATTGCCAGCATGGGATGCAAAGAGGTGGTGAATATGAAGGGGAAGTAAGAATGATTGGGAAATAATCACTGTCATGTAAGTCCGGGAGAACAGACCAAGTGAAGTCTAATGCGGCGGAGGAAGAGCAGACTGAGAGATCGATGCAAGAGAGTGTGTGAGTACCTGTATTTAAAACATGGAGGGGTGCCTGGCAAGAAAAGCCTCTAACTGAATGCCACGGGAATCACAGTGAGACCCCCCCCCCCCCCAGAGGAAATGGTGGACATTAAATTCGCCAAGTAACAGAATCGGTGGCGGTAATGACGAAACAAGAAAGGCAATATCTGGAATAGATAATGCCCGAGAAGGAGAGAGATATAAAGAACAGAGTGTATACCACCTATGCAAGTGGATACGGGCTACTGTGTAATGCAGCGAAGTACGAACAAATAGCTGATGGTACGGAATATCAGTGCGTAGAAGAAGGGCACTTTCATTAAAGGTCCCATCAGGAAAAGGATCTGAAGAATACAATAAATTATAGCCTGAGATGGGAGAGATAACAGCAGAGTGTAATTTTGGTTCCTGTAAGCAAACACCAACAGGGGAAAACTGGGAGAGTAACATCTGAAGCTCACCCCGATTACCCGAGGCCGCGTATATTCCACTGTAAATAGGCCATGATTGGCAATGATAAAGATACCTGAAATCCGCAGGTAAGGGTTCCTACGGACTAGAGGGGTTAGAAAAGTCCACATGCAGAGGTAGTGGAAAACATTCAAGCAGCGAAGGAATGGTGCGCTGTGAAGAAAGGAGTTGCACTGATGGAACAGAGGAGAGAGAAGGAACGGAGGGTGGATCAGTGTCCATTCATGGTTTGGTCTCAGCAATATATTCAGAGATTGCTTCAAGAGTTTTGGAATTCAGAGACGTCGTATGGGAGACAATATTGGAAATGGTAGGGGGAGGATGAGTAAAGATTGGAACTGTAATGGACTGTACCAAGGTAGGGGGGGCGAAAGGGTGGAGGGAACTGGAGAAGCGTGGAAAGGGGACAGAAGAGGCAGAAACCTGGGAGGGTGCAGAAGAGAAGAAACTTGGGAGGGAACAGGGGAGGAAGGTACAGTATGAGGAGGAGGGTGAACCTCTACACTTGTAACAGAGCCAGTGAGAGGGGAAGAACCAGGTACAGACACAGGGAAGGTAAAATAAGGTGGAAGATGGGTAGGAGGTGTTAACGGACCTTTTTTTGATTTTAGAGAAGTAGAGGGATGATTAGGAGGAGGTGTCATACGAGATCTCGTCGCTACTGAGGCTTGTGAGGAGAACACGAAGAAGCGAGATCAGACTGAGGCGTTGAAGTAGGGACATCTGAGCCTAGGACAGCAAAAGAATTAGATACAGGAGTGGCCATGGGAGAGGTAACCACAGAGGTGGTTGCAGAAGATGGGATCCCAGAAGTGGGGGGACGTTTTGAAACACGGGAATAAGAAACACAAGGTAGTCTCCCTTGGAGGCGGAGATGAGAAACTGCCATGGCATAAGGGAGACCTTCTGCCTCTTTGAGGTAACGGATTTCCCGCTCGTTTAAGTAGACTTGACAACGGCGAGAGTACGAAGAGTGAGCCTCATGACAATTAAGGCAAGAGGGAGGTCGATTGCAAGACATATTAGAATGGTCATTGGCACCACAGACTGGGCATTCGGCGATAGATCTGCAATATTTCGCTGGATGGCCAAATCGCCAGCAATTTCTACTGTTGTGGTGTAGGGATCACCTTTCGAACTTGTAACCGATGTCCTGCTACATAAACTGAGGATGGGAGTTCACGGCTGTCAAATGTTAAACGAGCCACATTGCTAGGGTATCGTCTCCACCCGCGGGCAGGAAGAACATAAGTGTCTACCTTGAGGATTGGGAGATCTTGGAGTTCCAGATGTTCAAGAATGTCAGTGCCACATGTCTGGAAATTTTGTTGAACTATGGTATGGGGCAGAATGACGGTACCACTACAAGAATTTGAGGGAATGATGTTTTTCAATAGTGACAGGAACAGTATCGATATGGGAAAGACAAGAAAGCTCATGAGCCTGGGTAGCATTCTGTACGGTGATGATGCGCGTACCACTCTTAAGAGTGGTGTGCGTAGGAGTGCCTTGCCAATACTGTGGTCAGAAAGGCAGTAGAGGAAGTCGGTCGTAAAGTGAAGAATTTAGTCCATTGTGCAGTCTGAAACTGAGCGTGGAAAGGTAGTGAAGGACTTGTTGATCTTTTCTGAGAAGAACGAGAAGGTGGAGAAGTATCATGAGCAGGTAATTGTCGTTGGCGTTTAGGCGTGGGACCAGAGTTGGTCCAACATGGAACGGGCCAGCGATTCGAAAATTGCCGCACCGTAGAGGGAGAGGCCAGAAGCATAGTCAACACAAGAGGTACAGAGGCATGAGGAGTGTCCGAAGAGTGGTCCAAAGATGAGGCGGGGTCAGAACGGGGTGCGGTATCAAGAAGGGGCCAGGGGGTAGCAGGTTCATGGACTAGGGCTGCCATGGTTAGGTTACTTCTTTCTTTTTGTTTTTAAGAAAAAAAAAAGAAAGAAGAAAAGAAAATAAAAATAAAAAAAAGAATAAAAAAAGGGGGGACCGGGGAGGTATAGTTCCTAGGAGGAATGAAAGGGCCAGAAATCTCCCTCCACGCCCAAGAGGACCTCAGCACCACAAGTAGCGCAGATGCAGCATGGAACCCGTGCCATACCCTACCCATCATGCCAGTAAACCAGCAATCCGGGATAGCAACCTCATATCTGCCGAGCTACCTCGGTGGACAAGAGAGGGCGGCCGGAAATCCACCACAAAGTATACCTCCTTCGGCCACCACCTCCGGAATCTGAAAGGTGGCTTCCAGAGATACACCCATCACCCGAGAGACACCCAAAGCCACCCTCCGAGATACCGGAGAGGGATCGGGACATCCCCAGGCAATCCAGATTCCACAGCAAACTACGCCACCGCCAAGAACCTCAATGGAATGGGATGGACCCCGGTACCCTTTCCCCTACCTAGGAACTAGCGTGCCTGTAGGAGAAAAAAAAAATAAATCCCAAAAGCCAAAAAGGAAGGGCAAAAGGGAGGGGTGGGGAGGAGGAGGAAAGGAAAAAGGGGAGGATGGGATAGGGAACGGGGGATTGGGGGGTAATAAGGTTCAGTCTGAGGAAGAGAAGTGGGGGGATGCTATGAAACACGAGAATAAGAAACACGGGGCAGTCTCGAATGGAGGCGGAGATGAGAAACCGCCATAGCATAAGGGAGACCTTCTGCCTCTGAGGCAACGAATTTCCCGCTCATTTAAGTAGACTTGGCAACGGCGAGAGTACGAAGGGTGAGCCTCATGACAATTAAGGCAACAGGGAGTTCGACTGCAAGACGTATTAGAATGGTCATCAGCACCACAGACTGGGCATTCGGCTATAGATCTGCAATATTTTGCTGGGTGGCCAAATTGCCAGTAATTCCTACACTGTTGTGGTGTAGGGATCACCTTCCGAACTTGTAACCGATGTCCTGCTACATAAACAGAGGATGGGAGTTCACGGCTGTCAAAAGTTAAACGAGCCACATTGCAAGGGTATGTCTTCGCCTGCGGGCAGGAAGAACATAAGTGTCTACCCTGAGAATTGGGAGATCTTGGAGTTCCAGCTGTTTGAGAATGTCATTGCTACATGTCTGGAAAGTCTGTTGGACTATGGTATGGGGCAGAATAACAGTACCACTACAAGAATTGAGGGAATGATGTTTTTCGATAGTGATAGGAATAGTATCGATATGTGAAAGAAGAGAAAGATCATGAGCTTGGGTAGAATTCTGGACTGTGATGATGCGTGTACCACTCTTAAGAGCATGAAGGGAAATGTCTCTACAAACGTGGCGTAGGAGCGCTTTGCCAATACTATGGTCGGAAAGATAGGCAGTAGAAGAAGTCGGTCTTAAAGTAAAGAATTTAGTCCATTATGTGGTCCGAAACTGAGTGTGGAGAGGGAGTGCGTGACGTGTCAGTCTTTTCCGAGTAGAATGGGAAGGTAACGAAGTAACATCATCAGGAGATTGTCTGTTGGCATTTAGAAGTGGGACCCGAGTCGGTCTGACATGGGACAGGCTGGCGATTTGAAAATTGCCGCACCGTAGAGGAAGAGGCCGGAAGCATAGTCAAAGGAGAGCGGAGGTCAGACAAATCAAAGGAGTCAGTCGAAACCCCAGCACCTGAAGCGGGTGACGAAACAGCACCAACAAGAGGTACAGGGGCCTTAGGAGTGTCCAAAAGACGAGGCGAGGTCAGAACAGGGTGCGGTAACAATAAAAGGCCCAGGAGTAGTGGGATCATGGATTTGGGACTCAATAGTTAGGTTACTTCTTTCTTTTTGTTTTTAAGAAAAAAAAAAAAAAGAAAATAAAAATAAAAAAAAAAGAATAAAAAAAGAGGGGACTGGGGAGGGATAGTTCCCAGGAGGAATGAAAGGGCCAGAAATCTCCCTCCGCGCCCAAGAGGACCTCAGCACCGCAAGTAGCGCAGATGCAGCATGGAACCCGTGCCATACCCTACCCTTCATGCCAGTAAACCAGCAATCCAGGATAGCAACCTCACATCTGATGAGCTACCTCAGTGGACAAAAGAGAGGGCGGCCAGATATCCGCCACAAAGCATACCTCCTTCGGCCACCACCCCCGGAATCCGAAAGGTGGCTTCCAGAGATACACCCGTCGCCCGAAAGACACCCAAAGCCACCGGAGAGGGATCGGGACATCCCCAGACGATCCAGATCCCACGGCAAACTACGCCACCGCCAAGAACCTCAACGGAATGGGATGGACCCCGGTACCCTTCCCCCTACCTATGAACTAGTGTGCCTGTGGGAAAAATCCCAAAGGCCAAAAAGAGGAAGGGCAAAAGGGAAGGGTGTGGAGGAGGAGGAAAGGAAAAAGGGGAGGATGGGATAGGGAAGGGGGAATTGGGGGGTAATTAGGTTCGGTCTGAGGAAGGAGACCGACACGGCTAATTCCTCAGACCAAGAGCCTCTTCACCACGCCAAGGAGCCCCCCTTGAAGAGGACTGGGATCACAGCTCCTCCAATCGAGGATAACAAATAAACAAACCTTTTATTCTCACAGATTTTACACAGGTTTATTATTACAATCAAAAAGGTTTAAGTGTTAAACCCACAAAGGTCATATAGGTTTAATATAGCAGCAATTGTAAAATTTCTATTACATTCATGGGGGCAAGCACTAAACCCACAGGGGTCATGCAGTGCCTCAGGAACGGAAGGCATTCAGGATTTATTCAAGGAACTGGAGTACTTGTCCAATTCTTAAGATCAAGAGCCCCTCACTAACATCAAGGAATTGGTATATTATTATTATATAGTATTTATTCAGGTTAACAGCATGAAGTGTCATGTTATAGTTACTTTACAAACATTAATCCTCTAACACTTTGAGATGAAAGACCCACATGAGTTTAGCACTTCACTTGAGGTAAACTAAAGATAAATGTATTTCAGGATGCAATATTGTGGTGTGTGAGCGAGTGTGTGGTGTGGTTCGTGGTGAAGAGCTTCACCAGGAGGAAGGTGATAGCCAGCACACGTCAGCTCTCCCACCAGAAGCTCAACATTGGCAAGCTCAACTTACGTTCTCCTGACCTCAAGAAGTTCTCTTGATAAATCACCACTCTTATTGTCAAGTTTTATGTGTCTGTCTGTGTGTGTGAGAGGTATTATCATGGAAAACTCCCAAAGTATTAAAAGTTCATTCAACACTATTGAGAGAGAAAAAAAAAGAGAGAGAGAGAGAGAGAGAGAGAGAGAGAGAGTCTGTTGGAAGCTACACGAGCACATTACTTTCCTTGGAGTGGTAAACCCGTAGAGGTCAAACTGCCTAGGGAATGGGAGACAAGCAGATTAAGATGTTAACTATTTCCTTGAACTAAGAGCCCCTTGTCACCCTTAAATGGAACATACCCCTCAAGGGAGGTTCCCTCATCCTGGTAAGGGGCTCTTGATCCATCCCTTCCTTGGATGGAACCTGAAAACTTCCCATTTCTTATGGGCCCCTACAGGTTTATCACTTTCCCCTCGTTACAATCAAAATTAAACGCTAAACCCACAAGGGTCATACAGTGCTGCTTGGCAGCATGTGCTGAAGATGTAATATGGGAAGATCAGAGACCAGCGAGGGTGAGAAGTATGCAAGAGACAAGAGTCAGTAAGAGGAGTGACGAGTGCTCAAGTGCTAAAGGGAAAATATAATCAAAGTTTGTGCAAATCCCCTTAATGTGGTGATTAATCTATTGTTTTAATTTCCAGCAGTTTACATTCACAGGGAAGTGCTAAAAAAATAGCAGCAACACAAGCTTTGTGGAGAAGATAATACAGTTTAATCCAAGGAATAGGAGGGCAGCTTTTAATTTTTTCAATCAAGAGCCCTTCATCAACAATAACGAACCCTTATGAAGGTGTATTTTATTAAAGATATTAATTACCCTTAAATAAATGATATGAATAGTAACATGGAAAGAGGCTTAAGTAAAATGCAATCCTTTATTGATGTTTCACCCACACAGTGGTATTTATCAAGTGACAAATAGGAGAGGAAGAACAAGTGTATTCCTAGAGAGTATAGTGAAGAAGTCTGGTTATTATTATTTTTTTATTAACACATCGGCTGTTTCTGCCAAGGTAGAGTAGCCAGAAAAAGAAAAACTTTCATCATTCACTCCATCACTGTCTTGCCAGAGGCATGCTTACACTATAGGTTTAAAACTGCAACATTAACACCCCTTCTTCAGAGTGCTGGCACTGTACTTCCCATCTCCAGGAATCAAGTCCAGCCTGCAGGTTTCCCTGAATCCCTTCATAAATGTTACCTTGCTTACACTCCAACAGCATGTCAAGTCCTAAAAACCATCTGTCTCCATCTGCTCCTATCTAACATGCTAACGCACGCTTGCTGGAAGTCCAAGCCCCTCGCACACAAAACCTCCTTTACTCCCCCTCCAACCTTTCCTAGGCCGACCCCTACCCCACCTTCCCTCCACTACAGATTTATACACTCTCGAAATCATTCTATTTTGTTCCATTCTCTCTACATGTCCAAACCATCTCAATAACCCCTCCTCAGCCCTCTGGATAATAGTTTTGATAATCCCACAACCTCCTCCTAATCTCCAAACCATGGATTCTCTGCATTATATCCACACAGCACATTGCCCTCAGACATGACACCTCCACTGCTTCCAGCCTTGTTACAACATTCACAACTCATTCTTCACACCCATACAAGAGTGTTGGTATAACTACACTCTCCTACATTCCTCTCTTTGCTTTCAAGGATAAAGTTCTTTATCTCCACAGACTCCCATGTGCGCCACCCACCTTTTTTTCTTCTCGTCAATTCTATGATTCACCTTATCCTTCATAAGCCATCTGCTGACACATCCACTCCCAAATACAGTATCTGAACACATTCACCTCCTTCATACTCTCTCCCTCTAATCTAATATCCAATCTTCCATTACGTAATTTTTTTTTTTTATCCTCATCACCTTACACTTCCCTACATCCACTTTAAATTTCCTTCTTTTGCATACCCTGCCAAACTCATCAGCCAACCTCTGCAACTTCTCTTCAGAATCTCCCAAAAGCACAGTGTCATCAGCAAAGAGCAACTGTGACAACTCCCACCTTGTGTTAGATTCTTTATCTTTTAATCCCATAACCTCTTGCCAACACCTGAGCATTCACTTCTCTTACAACTCCATCCATAAATATACTGAACAACCATGGTGACATCACACATCCTTGTCTAAATGACTCACGAAATCGTAATGACATAATTGCAAACAAGCCATACCAAGGATAGGGATAGAACCCGCGATCAGAGAGTCTCAAAACTCCAGACCGTCGTGTTAGCCACTGGGCCAGCTAGCCACAATAAGATTCATCCAACTAGGTATATTTCTACACCATAGGAAGGTTAGCATAGGTACCACAGTGACCACAAATGCAAGTTTTTACAGACAAATCTCCAGCTAGCATGGCCGTGATGAACTCTAGTTCCAGTCCTCTCAAAGTCGTCAATATGACTCATGAAATCATAATGACAAGATTGCAAACAAACCATACCACGGATGAGGATAGAACCCACAATCAGTGTGTCTCAAAACTCCAGACCGTCACGTTAGCCACTGGGCATTTGTGGTCACAGTGGTGCCTATGCTAACCTTCCTATGATGTAGAAATATACCTAGTTGGATGAATCTTATTGTGGCTAGCTGGTCCAGTGGCTAATGCGACGGTCTGGAGTTTTGAGACTTTCTGATCGTGGGTTCTATCCCTGTCCTTGTTATGGTTTGTTTGCAATCGTGTCATTACGATTTCGTGAGTCATGTTGGCGACTTTGAGGGGACTGGAGCTAGAGTTCATCACGGCCATGCTAGCTGGAGATTCGTCTGTAAAAACTTGCATTTGTGGTCACAGTGGTGCCTATGCTAACCTTCCTATGGTGTAGAAATATACCTAGTTGGATGAATCTTATTGTGGCTAGCTGGCCCAGTGGCTAAGGTGATGGTCTGGAGTTCTGAGACTCTCTGATTGCAGTTTTATCCGTCAGTGGTATGGTTTGTTTGCAATTGTGTCATTACGATTTCCTGAGTCATGTTGACGGCTTTGAGAGGACTGGAGCTAGAGTTCGTCACGGCCACGCTAGCTGGAGATTCAATTGCATAAACTTGCATTTGTGGTCACAGTGGTGCCTATGCTAACCTTCCTATAGTGTAGAAATATACCTAGTTGGATGAATCTTATTGTGGCTAGCTGGCCCAGTGGCTAACGCGACGGTCTGGAGTTTTGAGACTCTCTGATCGCGGGTTCTATCCCCGTCCGTGGTATGGTTTATCCATTGTCTAAGACCTACTTTTACTGGGAAATAACCTCCCTCTCGCCTACATACTCTAACCTGAGCCTCACTACCCTCGTAAAAACTTTTCATCGCTTTCAATGACCTACCTTCCATTCCATACATTTGCAACATCTGCCACATTGCCCCTCTATCCACCCTATCATATGCCTTTTCAAAATCCATGCATGCTCTCTGCCAATCCCTAGGTATCTTACCCTCTTCCATACATTTATTAAAAAAAAAAAATAACCACTCCAAAACTATATCCCCACCTGCTTTTAACATTTCTATCTTTATCCCATCAATCCCAGCTGCTTTACCCCCTTTCATTCTACTCACTGCCACACGCACTACCCCTACACTCACAACTGGTTCTTCCTCACTCTTATAAGATGCTATTCCTCCTTGCCCAATACACAAAAATCACAGCTTCCCTATCTTCATCAACATTTAACAATTCCTCAAAATATTCCCTCCATCTTCCCAATACCTCTAACTCTCCATTTAATAACTCGCCTCTCCTATTTTTAACTGACAAATTCATTTGTTCTCTAGGCTTTCTTAACTTGTTAATCTCACTCCAAAATTTTTTCTTATTTTCAACAAAATTTGTTGATAACATCTCACTCACCCTCTCATTTGCTCTCTTTTTACATTGTTTCATTACTCTCTTAGCCTCTCTTTTTCTCTCCATATACTCCTCCCTCCTTGCATCACTTCTACTTTGTTAAAACCTCTCATATGCTAACTTTTTCTCTCTTACTACCCTCTTTACATCATTCCACCAATCACTCTTCTTCCCTGCTGCACCACTTTCCTGTAACCACAAACCTCTGCTGAACACTAACACTATACGTATTTTTAAATTTACTCCCTTACATCTACCCCATTGCCTATACTCTCACTAGCCCATCTATCATCCAACAGTTGTTAATATCCTACCCTAACTGCCTCCTCCTTTAGTTCATAAGTCTTCACTTCTCTCTTACTTACTGTTTCATTCTCCTTGTATCCAATCTACATTTTACTCTCAGTGTAGCTACAATTAAAAAGTGATTTGATATATCTGTGGCCCTCTATAAACATGTACATCCTGAAGTCTACCCAACAGTCTTTTGTTTACCAGTACGTAGTCCAACAAACTACTGTCATTTTGCCCTACATCATATCTTGTATACTTATCCTCTTTTTCTTAAAATATGTGTTACCTATAACCAAACCCCTTTCTATACAAAGTTCAATCCAATGCTCCCCATTATCATTTACACCTGGCACCCCAAACTTACCTACCACACCCTCTCTAAACGCTTCTCCTACTTTAGCATTTAGGTCCCCTACTACAATTACTCTCTCACTTGGCTCAAAAGTTTCTACACACTCGCTTAACATCTCCCAAAATCAATCTCTCACCTCTACACTCTTCTCTTCTCCAGGTGCATACACACTTATGACCCAATTTTCACATCTGACCCTTATTTTAGTATGCATAATCCTTGAATTTATACATTTATATTCCCTCTTCTCTCTCCATAACTGATCCTTCAACATTATTGCTACCCCTTCCTTAGCTCTAACTCTCTCAGATACTCCTGACTTAATCCCATTCATTTCTCCCCACTGAAACTCCCCTACCCCCTTCAGCTTTGTTTCACTTAGGGCTAGCAGATCCATCTTTTCATTCATAACATAAGCAATCATCCGCACTACATCCACACACATTGAAACATCCCAATTTCATAAAGTTTTTCTTTTCCTTGTTTTTAATAATAAAGGAGAAGGGGTTACTAGCCCATTGCTCCTGGCATTTAGTCACCTCTTATGACACGCATAGCTTATGGAGGAAGAATTATTTTCCACTTCCCCATGGAGATAAGCACTAAACCTACAAGAGAAGTCAGGTTAGATGTGTTCAAGCTAAACTTTGGGGAGCTGGAAAAAACATGCTGAATAAATGTATGATTTAAGAAGTGAGGCACTGTGTTTACTGCAGTGCTTCTTTATACTGTGTGTGCCTATGAACTATTACTATGGTAAACTGATCTAAAAGCTTTCTAGAAGAGACTCAGCTATGCTATAGAAGGCTTTATTCTGGTTAAGATTACAGGATGTGCTCATGATTGTAGGATCTTGCATCTCTAGGTGTCTCCCGTGGCAAGGAGTCATACTATGTTAGCCTGAGAAATGTTTTAGCATTTTAAAAGTTTCCTCTACACTGTTATCAAGATAACAGAAGCCTTATACTGTGCAAGTCCCTGAAATATGTGCGAGTTTATGAAAATAAACTATGACTATGAACAGTATTTTAAAATTATCAGTTTCCTAAAACAGACATAATTGTGGGGAAGAGCTAAGTGAACAAGGGTCCTACAGCACTTGGGGAATTGTAAATAATGAGGATTGATCCAAGGAGGGGGAGGAGAGCTCCAAGCCATTGAATCAACGCATTTTTTCACTAAAATTAAGATATTTTTGGTTAAAATGCATTAGAAGTGCCTCACATTGTGTGAATTCTAATGAAATTTTATATTTAACTTTAAAAAATTAGGGAAATATCACACAGAATGAGAAAAGTAGTCTCTGCTTCATAATTCTACATTAACTGTGAGATGAAAAGCACTAAACCTGTATAGGGTTACACAGCACCTGGAGTATGAAAAACATTAAGATTTGATCCATGGAAGGGGATCAGGAGGATTTTGCTAAACATGTAGAGGTCATACAGTTTATGACAAATAGGAGGAATACAGATTTGATTCAAGGAAAGTGAGGAGACGTTCACTTAGATCAAGAGACCCTTCACCTGCATTAAGGTCCTACGAGGGTCTTAAGGGTTACGGTGATTGGGAAATGGGATGGGATAAAGTTTTTGATGTACATGGAGCCAATCCATCCATGAAGAGACCATATAAATCTGTAGGGAAAGGAAGGCAGGGTGGGGGTCATCCCCAAAAAGATTGGAGGGAGAGGGCAAAGGAGGTTTTGTGGGTGAGGGGCTTGGATTTCCAGTAAGTATGCGTGAGAGTGTTAGATAGGAGTGAATGGAGATGAATGTTTTTGGGACCTGATGAGCTGCTGGAGTGTAGGGATTCAGGGAAACTGGTTAGCTGGACTTGAGTCCTGAAAATGGGAAGTACAATGCCTGCAATTTAAAGGAGGGGTTTGGGATATTGGCAGTTTGGATGGATATCTAAGCTGTCGTATCTGAGCACCTCTGCAAAGACAGTGATTATGTATGAGTGATGGTGAAAGTGCTGTTGAATGATGAAAGTTTTTTTCTTTCTTTTTGGGTCACCCTGAATTGGTGGAAATGGCTGATGTGGCTTAAAAAAAAAATTATGCTTGGATAAAAGTTGCAAGAAAGTGGATGCAAGACTGTCCATGCAGGTGATGCTAACCTAACAAAACCTTCACTAAATACAAGCATTCCAAATAGTAACTCTTCATTTCTTTTTGCCAGCATTCAAGGTTTGAAAAGAAAAAATAATTATTCAAACTATACAAATGGGCTCCTCACAGAAGCAGATATGTTGGGAGAACTCATAAACATACACAAGGGTTTGTTTTGGACAGTGAGATCTAGGTGAAAAATTACAATGTTTACAGATCTGAGAGAGAGAGCAAAGTACAGGGAGGAGTATAATTCTATGTGAAAATACATTTTGCTGCATAAAACTAATGAACTCATCAACTCATACAACAGAAGTACTAGATATTAAAAATAGAAAACAAGAATCTAGCAATTATCTTTGTATATAAACAATTGTCAGCAACAGCCAAGGAATTCACTGAACAGACAAGATAGGCAGCTACTTGAAAATCCTACACAAAATATCCTCGTTGAGGATTTCAACCCTCCAAATGTGAAAAAGAAGATGGTAAAGAATAGCATAGTACTAGAAATAGCACCTCAAAGCATGCCAACTCAACAGAAACCAGAGAGCTACTAGGGCCCTATGAAAATTTGCTTTGATCCAATATATAACAATCTACTAGAAATAACA